TTTGATGCTTCTTCTGCCAGCTTGTTGCTTTTCACTTGCATATCTTCCAGTTTGTGGGAAATCAGACATATATCATCGGCGAAGTCCAGCTCCTCCGAGTGTTTTGTGTGAGTCCATTTTATGCCTGTTTCCTCATTCCCCGTTGTCTGTCGCATTATCCAATCTACTGCAATCAGGAAGATCATTGGCCATAACAGACAGCCTTACCTCACTTCCATCCTCACTTCGAAGGCTTCCGTAAGTTTCCCGTTGTGGATTACTTGGCATGCAGCATTGTCGTATAACTGTTGAATGAGACGTATAATCGTCGATGGGACCCCGTAGTAGCGAAGTAGTTTCCAAATGACCTCTCGATCGACGCTGTGGAAGGCCTTTTCAAAGTCGATGAAGTTGAGTGAGGTGGAGAGGTGACTGCCATTCCAAGCTTTATTCAATGATGATCCTTAGAGTGGAGATTTGATCAATACATGATTTGTTTCGCCTGAATCCAGCTTGTTCCGGTCGGAGTTTTTCATCTAGGGCTTGCTTGATTCTCTCCAGGATGATGCGGTTTAGTATTTTGCTTGGGATGGACAGGAGCATAATTCCGCGCCAGTTTTTACATTGACTTAAGTCTCCTTTCTTTGGTAGTTTGAATAAGTATCCTTTCTTCCAATCCTCAGGTACTTTGCCCTCTTTCCACACCTTCTCCAGCCATGGCATCATCAAGTCCGCTGTTGTCTCTGGGTCCATTTTCAATGCTTCTGCTGGGATTCCATTTGGTCCTGCTGCTTTTCCAGCTTTTAGCATCTTGATTGCATTCAGGACTTCTGATTTCGTCGGGAGATCGATGTTCACTGGTAGTTCTGCTTCCGTTGTTGGTATTGTTGGGCGCGTTGTAGGTGGCGGACGATTTAGAAGTCTTTTGAAGTGTTCAGCCCAGTGTTTTCTTTGCTCCACCTCTTTGGTGATTGACTTTCCATTGTCATCCTTTACTGGCTTAATCTGTGTCGAACGTTTGCTCGATAGGTGCCTAGTTGTTTGGTAGAGTGTGGCGAGGTCTCCTTTGCCTGCAGCTTGTTCTGCTTCACTTTCCATGGCTTCATAATATTTTCTTTTGTCTTCCCTGGCACCCTTCTTCACTCTTTTGTTCAGTGTATTGTAGCTTGCATTCAACTCCTGTTTTTGTTGCTCGCCGGTGCACTGGATAATCTTTTGTTTCACTGTCCTTCTCTCTTCTATTAGTTTCCAAGTGTCCGTAGTGAGCCATTGTTTGTCCTGTCTCTTCTTTCTGCCCAGAGCTTCCATGCAGGTTTGACTCCACACCGCTTTCAAGTTGTCCCAGTGCTTTTCGACGCCGACCTCTTCGCTAGTGTTGATTTGTGTCTCGGCTTTGTCCCTTATGCTTGCAATGAAGATGTCCTTTGTAGCCTGGTCCTGCAGTTTTCGAGTGTTGAATTTGGCTTGTGGTCTGTCTGCAGTTCCTGTTTCCGTGAAAGCTTTTAATTTCATTTGGATTGCCCCTTGTACGAGATAGTGATCTGAGCCAACGTCCACTCCTCTTCTTGCTTTTGTGTCCAGTAGGCTGCGCCTCCACTTCCTTGAGATTGAGATGAAGTCAATTTGGATTTTGGTTTGCCCATCTGGTGACACCCATGTAGCCTTGTGGATATCTTTGTGCTTGTATACACTGCCACCAATCACTAGTTCGTTGAAGGCGCAGAAGTCGGCGAAGAGTTCTCCACTTTCATTCATTTCTCCGAGAGCTTCTCTACCCATGATGAGTTCTCTTCCTGTGTTTTCTGGTCCCAGTTTGGCGTTCATGTCTCCCATTAGTATTTTAATGTCACAAGCTGGAGTATTGTCCATTTTTGTTTGTAGTTGTCTGTAGAATTCTTCTTTCTTTTCGAGGTCCGCGTTGTTTTTGGGTGCATAACATTGTGTAATTGACACTTTCCTTCCTTTGGAGTTGAATCTGGCGGTCATTATCCTGGACGAGATCGCCTCCCATTGCATCAGGGCCTTTGTTTCCGTTGGTGACATCATGATAGCCACGCCCTCGGTGTGCGTGTGGTTATCTTCTGGGTGACCGTAGTAGACCACTGACTCACCCGTTGACAATTTGGTGAGTCCATTCCCATTTCGTCTGCTTTCACTATCCCCAGTACTTGATTCTGTATCGTTTGATTTCGTTTGCTATCTGGGCAGCTTTGCCGATCTCATACATGGTGCGGACGTTCCATGTCCCCACACAGACTTTTTCTTTTGGTGCAAAGAGGTTCATCGTGCTGAAGTTTCTGTAGCAATTTTGTTTACAGGGTGGGGTTGCTAGCCTCACGCCTGAGAAAGGAATGGTTACATTAAGATAAAGTTTAGAGAGAAGCGACCTTTTGGGTTGCTCCCCTTAAAATGTTCGGTATTTAACGCAAATCCTGTACTAATTACAGACTGGTAGATTTGGCAAAAATGTAAAAATATCACTCACTACCTTTGTTACTCTTACCGCCACCCGTATAAGCCTTATTATCAATATTTTGTTATCATTATAATCATCGTTATTAACTTCGTTCAAAACATTTGTCACATTATTATTATTTGATCCACAAAATCACCGTCATTGGTTAAAAAATTTTTATAAGTCTATGTAAATTAGAGTAAAGCCTGAAGAAGATCTAATTGAAAACAACATTGTCCGCTTATATGTCTTGTTCTAATATTATAAATGGGAATATTTAAAGATTTAAAAATGTAAAATTTGTAAATATTTAGTTGACTTATCATGAATTGGAAGAATATGTGTGAAATTTACCATTTAAAAAATGTGTTAAGAAATATGATATACAATTTTACGAAATATCACACAGAGTAGACGAAATTTAGTTGAGAAACATTACTAGAAGTTTAATTGTCACTATATCTGTGATCCTTTATTCAGTTAGTTATACATTTGACGTTAAATTTAGTTTCACCCAGTGGACCGATAAACATGAGATTATAAAACTCTCTGTTTGCCATATCCTTCGGTTAAACTTTTAGAGAATGTGTACAATCATAAATACTGATCATGACTGTGTTCTTCAAACCCGTTCTGATGCCCCCATTACTGCAGCCTAAAGCTTCATTGCATCAATATGCGCATACTGTTGTCACTTTATTTCATCATGGATACTTAGACTACTAACAACAAATAAATAGTATAATCACATTTTGGATTTCTGTTTCGCCCATGGTTCCGTCTGTATTTTAAGAATGAACATACACTACAGACAGTGAACACTTACAGAAATCACCTCCAATCAATAAATTAGGGATGAGGATAACCTTAAATTATCATTCTCTGTGGAACAAAGCAAAAAATGCATCAGGTGTTAAAAGCGTATAGACAAGCCTTGCTTGATAATAGCATTATTTTCAACCTTGGATTCTATTTCTTTTGGCATTGTTGACACAGCATCCACCTATACCTTCCCCTTAATGTTACATTTGAGATATCTGGAAGTTGCTGAACGTCTAATAACGACTGACCTAATTTTACAGTAGAAGAACGTCATCAACATTGTTACTGTTACAGTTAAAGAATATTTCACTCATTAAGTAATGATCAACCAAAATGCACTAATAAGCTTCGAAAGTGCTTGTATGATGCTAATAATACAACCAATACAACAGTACTCTTACAAGGAAATCGATCATTTATTCTCAGGTCTGAAAGTGTAGAATGTTTCATCTTATAAATCAGTGTAAATAAAAAGCTCTGTGCAGTTAAACTAGGCAGGACATATATACCTTACTATATCTACAGTAATTGCCAGCTGATCAAGTAGATAGCATTCTATAGTACATAAGAGACAATCACGATATTGTAAATTTGTCTGATTTTCACCCTTCCTTAAGTTATGAATTCGTAGCACTTTCCCTCTTAAATTAAATATCTTTTAAGTGTTGGTTTGTAGGGATTTGATTGGTTTCAGGACTTCATCATGAGCTGACATTAGTTAGAGAACCATTGGAAAACCTGGGAGTGCTGGATTTCTGTTTCGTCCTAGTTTGGGTCTCTTCAACAATACGCGAAACCGGGATTCGAGCCCAGGACCTTCCGGTTACAAGGGGACCTCGTATACCACTAAGCCGCTGGGACCTATTTCAATGGTCCTTGAATTCTAACTTCTGCCAACCACGATATAGCGCGACCGCTAGCCAATGCCTTCGGCGAGTATTTGTCTCCACACCCGACCCGTTGCACCCTACTGGTCACGGCTTCCCACTGGAACCCAGGTAACTACCTACCTGAATAGGGCCAGTCGCCAGTGAGCATCTCATTGGTATTCAAGTGTTGGTTTGTAGGGATTTGATTGGTTTCAGAACTTCTCTAACTAATGTCAGCTCATGATGAAGTCCTAAATATCTTTTCATTAGTGCATTTTTGTATACCGTTTAGCATTATGCGCATATGCAAAGGAAGTTGTAAGAGTGAATGAAAATCTCTCCTATTCGCGTTGCAAAATCTCAAAATAATGGTAACAGTCACACCATATTTTGTTTACTTCATTTTCTCAATCAACTGAGGTATCTATTCACAACAATCTAGTAAAAACCAACAGCTAATTTTAATGGTATTTTGTTTTAATGATCTACACCAAAAGTGGAAATACACAAAATACTTCAAATGTACTTAATTATACAGTAATAATGATAATCTAGACACAAGAGTAATCACATCTTTTTAAGAAAACTGTGGTACAAATAAAAAAATGACAAACTAAAATAAGTTGGGTCTTATAAATCAAAGCCGTTTCATCTCCTGCTTATTGCTATCAAAAGATTTTTCAATTTTTAATTACGACCAAATAGAATTATAGCCTACACAGTTCCCCTAATAGATTATGTGTGTTCGGAAAAAAAAGGCAGTAAATAAGGTGAGTGAAAAATAGCAGAATGTATATGTAAGTGCAGAAAAGAAGCTGTACAATGAAAGTTATTTGTCAGAACTTATACAATAGTAGTAGTAGTAGTAGAAGAAATCACCAGTTATCGCCAGTAGTTTCCGAGTCATCATTAGCGACAGACTCAGTATCATCGAATGCAGAAGAAACGTTTGGTCTGGAGCTAGGTTTTGCGGATACTTTTTCATCAGTTAGTGGTGGGGGCCAAAGATAAAGGAGGTGTTCATATAAACACCGGATCGCAAAAATAAATAATGCTTGAAGGGCATATTGCGCTAGAAGAGCACCGAAACCTCTATACAATCCCAAAAATCCAACACGTAAGTCAAAGGTAGAACGCAGTGCATCAAAGAAGCCGTCATATGATGAGACTATTGGCACAACTACATCCCCAGTATCCATGTTGTCAACGAGAGTACGTGTACCTTGAACGCACAGGCGCAATACTATTGTCTCCACGGGATAAAGTACAACGTCTGCAGCAAAATTAGCCGTTATCCCAGCTAGCAAGTCTGTATAGTAACGATTATAAATAGCTTGTAAAGCAGTGTCTTGACGCTGGTAAGCCAAAGTAGCTGAGTCACTTGCATGACGCTCACTAACAGAAGTTGGTTGTGTACTCGGTGTTGAATAATGTGTCGGGAATCCCGGAGAAAGCCTGTTGCGACTTAGACCACCAGTCTGAAATTTATAAGAGTAAAATAATGAACGTCATATAAAGTTTACTGAAAACTATAGACGGAAAAAACCGACGACAAATATCTAAATAAACAATAAAGAGTAACCCATAATGCACCAAAATGTAGTAAGCGAGCTACTGTTTGTACTACATGTTTATTCAGAAAAACTAGAACCTATCGAATGGAGTTCATTTTTGTTGGTGTCTAGATATTTCCATAGATTATGTTTACACAAAAACAGCGTGACATCTAATGAAGATTTCCACTTTTAAACTGATCCGTCTCTCAATCAGGAACTGATCAGATAAACAGAAACGACAGTTGCCCAACAGCTTCAATTCTACGATAAGCGACCTATAAGTTTTCTTCGCCTAACTAAATACTGGGTCTATTATCAAAACAGAATATTACGAATACCAGGTAAATATGAGCAGTAGGCAATCAGATAATTGAAGCAAGTGCATTAGATCTCTTTGACTAAAACCCAAATTTTCAAACGCCAAATAATAGAACATCGAATTACGGGCCTCATTTACTACTGTTTGTAAAATTTAGGTAACGTTTTTAGAATAGTAGTAGTATGATATATAACCTACATCCAAACACTGACATATATATTAACAGTGCATCACTAATACGTACTCAACCTAAACAGTATAAAATATTACGCTGGTAAATTTTTATAGTTCAGTAACACTGGTGACGACGAGACAGTAGATACATGACGAGATTTTACTCACTGCATTAATACTCAGCATTAATACAGGTACCTAGATATAATGCTTAAAATAATCGCTACTGTTTAACGCAAATAGATCTCGAATATTTGTGTACAAGCAATGTAAAATCGAGTGCTTAAGAATACAGAATACACAATATACTGTGTTCTACGTACTAGTTACATCAATTTATCCAGGATAACATTCGAAAATGACACGCAGAAAATAGCTGAAATGATTGCTGTTTTTGAAATGACAAGTAATTTTTTGTAATTATACTCCGAAGATACAACTGACAAGAAAGTCGCAAAAAGACAATAACATTATATTAAAAACGTTCTCCAACGCATTCCTTCCAAGAAACGACAAATACACACCTACGCGAGTTTATTTGTGTGACTTAAGTTTATGGTTTCTTGTATTATGTACTCAAGACGAACCAATCGAGTATATAAGAAGTTATAAACTCAAAGATAAAAATACAGTTCTTATAAACTGTCCCTTTAGACCGTACTAAACAGAAGTGAAATCGTTTGAGTAAACTCCTATCAATTGTGAATGAAGAGATATATTTCAAAAGCCTAGTACTTATGCTTCAAACGCCATACTGCTGTCATTCCACTAAAACTCGTTCATCAAGGCGAAACAGACGCCATGAAATAATGGAGAATACAGTAGTCACCCAACAGCTATCATTGCTACTCAACCGAGACTTTCACATGTTCCATAGGATACTGTACTGTACTTGTTTTTTGTCCTTAATTCAAAAAATTTCTATTCCACTAAGAAATCAATACTTTTGTACCGAAATTGATTCTTAACCACCACCGGCACATCGGAGTTTACAAACTTGTAATAAAATAGCAGTGAATAGGTTGCTTTCCAACTTCAAGAATGATATTTTTCGACGTTTAAGACAAAATTACTAGCAAATAGTAATAAATAAACAAATAAGTTGTGGAGAATCCCGATGAAAATATACTGCATACAGCAGAAGCAGTCGCCCGGTCAACGACTGCTACGTTGTCGTGATGGTCGGGTTTGTATACTGCAGTGACCGAACAAGCTAAACCGGCTGGGACTCATGTTCCTGCAGGTCCTACAACGTAGGGAGAGTTGTTTGGATAGCGGTTAGACTAAAAGCAGTTACCATGGGGTATATGAGCTCCTGAATCCAATCGGATCAAATGACGTATGAACCTATATTGGTTACAGGAAACCATGGGAATGCAGCTCCTGACGCTGCTCCGCTGCCTTGCGGATTAGACTCCAAGTCAAAGGTTCGGGGATGGTCCCTTATGACTGTCTGTCTGTCTGTTTTCGACATAGAACTTTGCACAAATGTGCGGAAGTTCAAGTCGCCACATTCCGTGTAGCACGCGAAGCAAGAGAAGAAAGTGCAAGAAAAGCATAATAGAAACAGTGAGCAGAGGTGTGAGACAAAGGAGTAATAAAGAAATACAAAACAGTTTCATTGAAGATCATAAGTCACAGGGAGTGGATGCATCTGCGCCACTGAGAACGATTTTGAGCCATGTCACCAATTGTTTCCAACCATAGATTTTTACCGTCCCGAGGACCCCAGCCTGGAAGTCTACACCTTTCTACGTGGCTTAGACCAACTGTTGTGGATTTCATTGACTGATGCCAAGTTTTTGTTTGACCGCCGCTAGCTTTTTTCCAGCCTGACCCTATATCCGCTAACATTGCTCGTCGAGGGAGGCGATGGCTTGGCATACGTAACACATGTCCTAACCATCTCAGTCTTTGTAGCTTCACGACTTCGTCGATTGATTTCCCCTGTTTACCTAGAACTCGATGCCTAACCTCAATGTTGCTCACCTTATTATGCCACTTTACACGGGAAATAGAGCGCAGGCACCTATGATCAAAGACAGCTAGTCTTTTCATGTCTTCCACTCTCAGTGGCCAGGTCTCACAACCATAAAGGAGGACGGAGCGGACTGATGAGCAGTACACCCGTCCTTTGGTCGATAGTCGAACATCTCGTCTACGCCAGAGTCGGCGGAAACTGGCAAATGCGAAACTAGCCCTCCGTATTCGTGCTGAGATTTCGTCAGAGATCAGCCCGTTGGGGCTGATGGTACTTCCCAAATAAGTGAAGCGGTCAACGTGCTCTACCACTTCACTTCCTATTTTTAAACTAGGCGTCGATGTAGTCCAGTTCTGTAACATCATCTTGCATTTGGTGGGAGCGAATCGCATGCCAAACATTCGTAGATTGCGGCTCAAGGTGTTTGGAAGATTCTGCATTTCGTCAGCGTCTTCGCCTAGAAGGACTACATCGTCTGCATATTCCAAGTCAACGAGATTATTCCCCGGTAGCAAGTCAATCCCTGAATCACTGAAGTCACCTAGGGTTAAGTCCATTAACACATCTATGAAAACCACCTGCTTCGATCTGGACGCCCGGGCAGTATGTCAGCCCTCACACAATATATGCAATGAAGCAAAAAAATATCAGTGGAACTTATCGCGCCCTCGTTACAATGCTTTCAAGCAATGATGATGTCTCAAGTAACACATCTCTTTCCAACCTTACTTTTATTTTTATACATGGACTCCTATATTTTACCTTAGCTAACCTTGACGTCTTCACCTTCGACAGCCTTTCGCTTTTGTCTAAAATTCCCAGCCTATCTGTGCTGTTTCGAGATGTTAGTGAGTAGCCTTCAAAATGGTTGTCCCCAATGTGACACCTAACACAGATATCCTGAAACCGCGTGCCGCGTTCAAGCTGGCCACCTACAATGTTCGGATACTGATGCAAATTGGACAACATGCAAGATTGGTGAGAACATTGGAAAGCCTCGCTATCGATGTCTGCTGCATTTTGAAGAGCCGCATTCACGATCCCAGTGAAGTGCTTCGATTATCCTCTTCATCTGGAGGTTCTAGTAGTATGTACCACCTGTGCTTGTTGGGGGACTCTGTGGCGTCGGCATCCGGCGTAGCTGGTGTCGGTGTCGCACCAAGCGCTATGGCCGAAGCGACATTACTCGATTGGATCCCCACATGCAATTAAGGATGAGTTCTACTACCAACTGAGCGATCTTTTGAAACAGGCGGGTTGGAGGGATATCGTAGTGCTAGCTGGGGACTTGAATGCACAGGTCGGGCATCTAAGCTCAGAGGAGAATCGTTTAGGTGGTCAGTGGGGCTTACATGGTCGCAGGTCAGATAATGGTGACCGTCTTCTTCAGCTTTGGGCAGATCACAACCTATTTCTAGCCAGCACCAACTTCCGGCACAGTAATCGCTGTAACGCTAATTGACTCCCTCCTTCTGAGAATCACGCTTTGACTCAGATTGATCTTATCGCTGTCAGTTTCCGGTGGCGAGAATGCCTACAAGACTGCCACTCCTTCTGAAGCACATGTCTGGACTCAGATCATGCGTTAGTGTGTGCCAAGTTCGTCTTCCAATTTGGTGGGGTTCATAAAAGGCGTCGTATAAACGTTGATGTGAGCAAACTAGTAGCACCTGCTACTCCTTTGAAATACCAGAATGAATTACAACCAATGCTTGCCAGCAACCCCCAAGTAGTATAGATGAAAATTGGCTTCATCTGCAAAGTGCCATGGAAAGGGCGAGTGTAGCCGCTTGCAGCTTAAAATAATGCTCCGCTAAAAACCACTGGGTTTCTGCGAGTTCCTTGGAACTCCTGGATGAACGCCGGTCCATTCCGGCTGGCAGCGAATACAACAATAAGCGAAAGGCGTTCACCGCGAAGCCTGGTGGTCAGAACGTGCGTGTGAGATGGAGTCAGCTGCTGCATCCGGAAACAGTCGGAAGCTGTCCCAACTCATCCGAGCCACCGGCAGCAAGAAACAAGGTGTCAGCGAGACAGTCTGTGAGGCAAATGGCACTCCAATTACCAGCCTGAAAAGACGCCTGGAACGCTGGGCAGAGCATTTCGAGAAACAGTTTAGCTGGCCACCAGCCCCAGTGTCTGATGTCACTAGCTCCAGTACCCCTTGGTCAGTCAGTACCGACCCGCCAACCGACGCGGAGGTCTGAAAAGAACTCCAAGTACTGGAACAACATAAGGCATCTGGCTCAGACAATCTACCGCCGGCTCTTTTTAAAGATGTTGGCGAGACTCTCACAATGGCTCTAACTGGGTCGTTCAGGAAGGTATAGGAGACTGAGAGTGTACCATCGATGTGGAACGAAGTCATTATCGTCCCCATCCTTAAAAAGGGTCGACGTAATTCATGTGACAACCATAGGGGTATCAGTCTGCTACCAGTCGCGTCTA